TTGAACCTCTCTAGTTTACCTGCAGTCTAACCTTTTCTGAGCTTTCACGCGACCTGCAGGCATTTTTTACGGTGGCACTGCCTCATTGGATTTGGTGGCACGACCCGATCCAATTAGTCTTGCCTCTAGCTGACCGTTTGGAGAGTATTGTTGAACCTCTCCAGGTAACTCATAACGGCTGGATCAAGCACCGTGAGCTTTAAGGGATATCCCCCACGATATTTCCCTGGGTTGGGGGCACTTTGGGAGAAGTGTCCTCCTATACCTGGGGGATCTCTTCATTGCCATAATTGGTTCGCTCCAATTCGAAGTCGCGAGTCATTTGCTATAGTGGGATCGATTAGTCAGAGATTTTCCTGATGAAGAACAGATACTAAATCAGGCCCTCCTTCTAACGCCAAATTGTTGATGCTAGATTTTGACACCAACTATTCGCACGTGAAAAGTGCTAAGCGAGCTTAGAAATCACACGTGGTATGGAAATGCTTAATTGAGTAAGGGGTGAAGAACAATGTTTAAAGTGGTTCGGATGCTCAAAAGCGAATCCTACTTCCACTGATATTGTATTAATGAGAGTAAAGTCAGGTCACATTCAGCGAGCTGAGTTATAGCTTTGAGAATAAGAGAGAGAGAGAGAGAGAGAGAGAGAGAGAGAGTATGCTATTCCAGAGTGAAATTAGCCAATCCCCGCAAATGAGATAGAATGCCTCTATTTATAGTGGGATGAATCAAGATAATGATTACTAAATCTGCAAGTGGGGTAGATACCGTGTAAATCCTTCTCTGCGTCCCATTGCTCACCTACCCCAGTAATTTCGTCGACTTGTGCAGGGATTGGATACGTGGACGATTCCCAACCATCCGCTGACCTGGCGTTTATCCACTGCACTGATAGGGGCATGCTACTCATGTCATCATGCGACATGGCCGCGTCTGAACAGTTACGGAACCTTCCTAAGTTTTGACCACCCCACGCTGACAAGACTCTGCGTCAGCCCTACTTTTTCAGGCATAACAACTTTAATCACCAGAATTACACAGTCAAAAGCCTTTTGTAAAAGTAATTCTTCATACTTGATTGTTTTCCCTTTTAGAATTTGAGTCCACAACATGTAATTCTTGAAAGCTGATGATACTGGTTTCTGTATTTTAGTTCATTTTCATAGGATTAATTAAAGATGGTTACGTTAGATTTATCTTTACTTCCGTAATTGAAGGAGTCAAATTAAAGGGAACCAATTAACTCCAAGAGAGCTTATATACATATATATCATGCATTGCAATTGTATATATATTATTCATAGCTTTGCTGTTTACTTGGAATAAGATGGAGTTGAATAATTTATAGTTATACAGAAACTCTTGGAAAAATTTGCAAGAAGAATAGAAGTTTATATTCAATGGCTTCTTTCTTTACTAAAATTTTCAATTCCTGGACTTTTTCAATCTTTTAACAGTCGGGTCTAAGAGCTCCAGGCCAATTTTTTTAAAATGTTTTACTCTTCAATCTACCAATCCACGTGGTCAATATAGCCTATTGTGCCAGAATATTATATGGCATAAACTGATTAGCAGAATATTAAGACTTTGATAGGATGGAAAGGCAAGAACAATTGATCATCAAGACCGTTATTAAGGGACAGTATATGTGACATTTCTGCAGTACCAGTATTTGTTCATCCATGGCGAGTAGGCTCTTTCTCTTCTCTCAAGATAAACATAAACAAAAGCTAAAAGAGAACTGCCAAATTGGATTTGGTTGAAGTCTGAATTTCTGCACTCTGATTCAAAAGAAAAGTCCACCAATGTCTCATCTGTGTCACTATTATTGACCATTTTATGTCTCGATACAGAATTATTGACAATTTTATACTTTTATAAGTAATCAACTACAGGGAATCTGGAGACAAACCTTTTTCATAATTGTTTTAATTATTCATTTTCAAAATAATATTAACTTAACGGATAATATTATACTTATAATTAAATCTTTAAACTTATAATATTACATTTATAACCTAATCTTCAAATTTTCTCTTATAACTTTGATATGACAGCTCGTAATTAGTCAGTTCCTAAATAGGTTTTACCTGTTTATTATCGGTCTCGCTTGCTCAATTGCAAGCTTTTACATCGAGATTGTGAGAAAAAAATTATAAAATATGTCACCGGTAAAATAATGTTCCAAAGTGATCAATACCGCACACTAAATAGAGTACTTGTCTGTATTGCACACTTTTTCCTAGCCATCTCTTGGCATTTTCATGTTAAAAAATTCCTAAATCCCTCCAAGCTTCTATATATACCGCTCCCCATTTCACTTGCTCAATCACCTCTCAGTATTCAGTTTATCACTATAGCTATAGTTTTCTTCTCTTTCTTAATATCTCTCCATCAAAATGTTGAGCTCTTTTGTGTCTTTCTTCAACAGAGATCAATTATCTTATCAAGTATTGGAGCACAGGGAACCTAAGCCTGCGAACTTCATATACAGAGATAACTTGAACAAGAACAAGAAGCAGAAACTATCACCAAACCAACCAAAGGATGATGATTTTTGCTTCGCCAGTTCAAAACCAATTGAAGAGAAAGGGGTGATCAGAGTAAAAGTTACCATGACAAAGAAAGAGGCAGCTCGATTATTGTCCAAGTGTAAAGAGGGAGGAGTTCTTGGATTCAAAGATGTAGCTAAGGAGCTTGTTCAAATACCAATGAATCGTGTCAGTGTTGAGTCGACTCCTTGCGCAAGCAGTCATGCAGTCCTCAAGAGCATCCCTGAGTAATTTTGTTTTCCTTTTTTTTTTTTTTTTTTTAATTTATAAATTAATCATCAGTGTATTAGCATTTGAGGTTTTATTTCAGAAACTAATGTAAAATGTATATTTTCTTTTTCATAATTAATACATGTGAATAAAGGATTTTATATGAGATAGATAAAATGAAAGCCTTTTAATTATATGTAAATAAAGCAAACACTCTATAGCAATATATACATAGTTAATTGCTGTTAACTCAGTGTTTTATATCATTTAAGAAAGAAATATATATATATATATATATTGGAAGGCTATTTACCTTATGTTGCAGGGCATAAAAAATTTCTGATACCTCCTCTAGGCCGTATAATAGTTTAAACCAGGGCAATCCCATCTCATCCATATCAGAAACCTAGCGATGTTTGCAAGACATGGCTCAAATTGCCTGCACCACCCCCCCACCCCGCCCCCCCTGAAGTAATAAAAGATGAAACTCCAGCATCAGGTTAGTGTGATGAATCCTTCAAAGAAAATTTAACTGATACAAAATAATACATGTCAATAAAATCAAATCAACCACGCCAACTATTATTCCATCATCAAACATGCTCCAATTCCCCCTCTCAAACCCAACTTAAACGATGAACCATACCATTGAATAAAGATGGCAACTGCAACAGGCCTGGGCTCAGGGTTATGGGGTTGGGTCTGGGCCTGGGCCTGGGCCAAGGGGTACTTGGTCCCAACGCGGCCCATTGTCATCTCTACCATTGAACCAATCCTCTATAGGTGATAGCTATATTAAATTAAACCTCAAAGGTTAAAACATAAGGGAAGAGTAGGAAAAGAGAATTTACACAATTGTTCTACATTTACGCCATTGAGTTATAATAGACTTGTCATAATCCCTATTTTTCTTTGAGTGCCGTTCCAATTGAATGCTCATGAGAAGAGTTTCTGATATCCCTTTGTTTCCAAAATTAAATATGGGCATAGTGCCACCAAACTACTGTTTGGGCTCAAATATCATGCCAGGCCCATATTTTAATGTACAAAAACTTTAATTAACAAAAGCCCACCAGAGAAAATAATTAATGGTTAGCTGTTACATTTGTTCTGGGAATTTAGTATTTGAATGTGTGAAACTCAAAATCCATTGTCTACCATATTAATCTATACACACAAAAATATGGTAATTAAAGCAAGAGATACTATTAATTAAGTTAATATGAATGATAAAAAAAAAAATATCAAAGATTGTCCATGAGAAAATAAATTATAGAAATTAACATGGGTCGAGACTGAGAGTCACAAAAAGCCCATCGGTCAGGCCTAGGCATTACCCGACATCCCTACAACGGGCCCAAGCTCAGGGTCATGGGGTCGGGCCTGGGCCTAGGCCCGGGCCAAAGGGTACTTGGTCCCAACCTGACCCATTGTCATCTCTACCATTGAACCACTCCTCCATAGGTGATAGCTAGATAGCTATATTAAATTAAACCTCAAAGGTAAAAACATAAGGGAAGAGTAGGAAAAGAGAATTTACACCATGAGTTATAATAGACTTGTCATAATCCCTATTTTTCTGAATGCTCATGAGAAGAGTTTCTGATATCCCTTTGTTTCCAAAATTAAATATGGGCATAGTGCCACCAAACTACTGTCCGGGCTCAAATATCATTGAAAAGTTGGCATCTACATTTACTTTTTATGATTTCCTACATTAGTTTAGCTGAAGCTGAAACTGAAGACTGCTGATGGCTTAAACTAAACTAAACACTTGATGGAAGATGTATCTAATTACAAAGATAGTTATGATAAAGAAGTTTAATTGATTGACCAAAGTCACACCAGATAGACAGAGCCCATTGCCAACCTCCAACCTACCAGAAATTATTTAATGCTCATATTAATGAGCCTGAAAATTTTGACCTCAATTCTTTTCTTGATTTGAATATGCATATGATTTGAATCTCAAGAACCCATTTCAATCTCACCAAGTAAAATTCCGCTGGACTAACCATTTCATCAAAGATAAACAGAAGGCATATGAATCAAAAAAATAACATGAACTGGTTAGATAAAAAGGTGTATATGCTTTTGCTGGATTATTGGTACAACTAGTACTTAATTACAATCAAGGGCTACAAGTACACATAAATTACATCTAAAGTACAGATATTAGTCCAAAAAACCCGTAATTATGAAGTAATTATGGGTCATAAACCACATCTAAAGTCTTAATTACTCACTTCTCAACCATTTTGGATCATCATCCAAGTCAAAAACCTCAGAGGACAAGAAAGAAGAAGATGATGAAAACCTCAAAGGAGAAAAGGGTAGTAGTCTAAGAAAAACCTGAAAAGGTATTTATATAACAAATTCAATAAGGAAAAATCTGAGAAAAAGGAGGAAAATTGGTTTAATAAAAGTTTCATCTATCCATCTCAAGAACTTCAGGGCCCTCCATTATACTCTCCAGAGAAGGTTTCCAAGCTTCAACTTTCCCTCTTTCTCTCCCAATTTCAGCCAAGACATCCTCTAATCTTTTCCCTTCATTTTTCTTCAGCTGAATCATCAACCACTGCAATTCCTCCTTTGTCAGAACTATCTTCACCTTTAAACCCCCACTACCTCCTTTAACGCAATCCACACTCTCTTTCACAAGCCCTTTTGTTCCCTCTTCTTGTTGCTGTTGCATCGCCTCTTCCTCTCGCCTTTCACGGCCTCTCTGCATGCAATTTCCCATGTTTAATCAGAAAACTGGGTTTGGAAAATAAAAGAATTCTGTGAGAGGAAAGAGAAGCACAATATTCAGAGGTTTGGTATTGCATGTGAGGTTGTGGAGACAAGGATATTTATAAGCAAACCTAACAAAAGAGTTTACGTAGACTTTTTTTTTTTCCTGGAGAACAAATACTGTAATTTTCTACTTAAGATAGTGACAAGCTTATGGCCCATATACGATTATAAAATCCCATATTTTTAAAACCAATTAATGTTACTGTTTGGCATCTCCAATTATTAATTCACTTCACCCAAACCGCGTTCATGTATTGAAATTTTTAGGCACATCAATCGGTACAGCTAGCTGTATATCCTATAAATTTGCTTCTAAAATTATTATTATTCAGTCTCCAGGATCTGAACTCTTCATAAAGGTGAGATTGAAAGATCATAATAAAGCAGATTTTATTGATGTGATATCGATCCGTGATAGAGGCAATTGAAACTTTGTGGGTCCTTTTAACTACCCAATAATTTAAACGGCAAAATAATTGATGAATTGAGAGCTCTTAATGCGATGAACCATGAAGAAATTTCCAGGAATTTGATGAACTTCTGTTCGTCATTCATGTCAATATTTAATATCACAGACAATAAGGAAGTTCTGAAGTCATTTTCTACCGGTCCTTTAATAAATGTGGTGGTGGCAAATTAAAAAAATGGAAGGAAGAGTTCTGTCACTGTCTTCTAATACAAAAGAAAACCAGATTTAAGAATTTAAATCACGGACGACAGCCTTTATATCAATTATTCTACCGACATTTTCTCTTTTAATCTTTGTTCTATATAATCTTACTCTCATCATGTGAGTTTATAGTTCACATAGTTTATGCTTACGACAACTTGGAGACCTTTGATGAGTCAGAGATTGATTCCTTCCCTTATTTAATGGAAGAAATTCAGACTAATGTGTGTTTACTGATATTTTATGTTTCTGGTTCAAATTACTTAGTCGTTGCACGACTCTCCATTCGCCTTTGTATAAGATTTACCAATAATTTGTCGTTAGTCATGGTTATATGTTTTACTTGGTCTCCATGACTATGAGCATGGGAAATTATTTGCATAAGTTGACTGGTACTTGTCAATAAGATTAAATTTAGAACACAATTACTTCAGAGTCTTGTTGTATTTGCTTCTGTAAGCAGGAGAAGGTAGGTAGTTGTCATTTGTTACCACCTTTTCATCCATTGGGTGAATGACAAGAAATTCAAAAGCAGAACACAAAACTATTAACAATAAATAAGATAGAAACTTTAACATAACTTTAATCACCATTATTACAGAGTCAAAAGCCTATTGTAAAAGTGACTCTTCATACTTTATTGTTTTCCCTTTTAGAACTTGAGTCCACAACATGTAATTCTTGAAAGCTGATGATACTGGTTTCTGTCTTTTAGTTCATTTCCGTAATTGAAGGAGTCAAATTAAAGGGAACCAATGAACTCCGAGAAAGCTTATCATATATATATATATATATATATATATATGTATATCATGCATGGCAATTGTATATATATTATTCATAGCTTTGCTGTTTACTTGGAATAAGATGGAGTTGAATAATTTATAGTTATACAGAAACTCTTGGAAAAATTTGCAAGAAGAATAGAAGTTTATATTCAATGGCTTTCTTTGTTTACTAAAATTTTCAAGTCCTGGACTTTTTCAATCTTTTAACAGTCGGGTCTAAGAGCTCCAGGCCAATTTTTTTTTTCAAAATGCTTTACTCTTCAATCCTACCAATCCACGTGGTAAATATAGCCTATTTTGCCTGGTGTTGAACAAGAATATTATATGGCATAAACTGATAAGCAGAATATTAAGACTTTGATAAAATGGAAAGGCAAGAACAATTGATCATCAGGACCGTTTTTAAGGGACAGTATATGTGACATTTCTGCAGTACCAGTATTTGTTCATCCATGGCGGGTAGGCTCTTTCTCTTCTCTCAAGATAAACATAAACAAAAGCTAAAAGAGAACTGCCAAATTGGATTTGGTTGAAGTCTGAATTTCTGCACTCTGATTCAAAAGAAAAGTCCACCAATGTCTCATCTAAGTCACTGTTATTGACCATTTCATGTCTCGGTACAGAATTATTGACAGTTTTATATTTTGATGGATAATCAGCTACAGGATATCTGGAGACAAACCTTTTTCATAATTGTTTTGATTGTTCATTTTCAACATAATGTTAACTTAACGGATAATACTAATAATCGAATCTTTAAACTTATAATCCTGTCTACACTCAGTAGCCGATCCAAAAATTTATTAAGATGGACCAAAATAAAAACTAATTACACATTAATAGTTTTATTAGGGTAAACTAAAATCCAAAAAATATATATATTAGTATTTTTTTTTTTAAATTGAGGGTAGGCCATGGCCCATCCAAAACTAGGCTAAATCCGTCCATGACTGTACTTATAACTCAATCTTCAAATTTTCTCTCACAACTCAAATATGACAGTCTTCAAATTTTCTCTCATAATTCAAATATAACAACTCGTAATTAATCAGTTCACAAATGAGTTTTACCTGCCCAATTACAAGCTTTTACATCGAGATTGTGAAAAAAAATTTATAAGATTTGATTGTAAGTCAATCTTTATCCTTAACTTAATGGATAATTTCTCGTACAACATAATCCTTGTCTTCAATAAATATAAATTCCTTTTCTTCATGGAATTGGATTAAAAATTGTAAATCTCTTAATCAGGACTCAGGAGACAGTATTAAAGGCGCTTTAGGGCTGGAAAAGCAGGTGTGAACTGAGGTAATCGTGACACTAAATGACGATTTAAGATGCAACTTTCATTTAATAGGCCCCAAATCTACAACAGAAATTGTCTTAGCTTCACGAATACAGAATCTCACAATTAACAATAGAGAAAAATTTCGCTTTCCTAAATCGGCGGGAGCAATAAAGTCACTCGACAATGTCGCAACTTTAGGTAGAGAAGTGACTGATTTTCAATTTTCTAAGGGGTATCAATTGTGAACTGTGTAACACATGAACACCACACCAGGCAATCTACACAAATCTTTTATATATATATATATAATTTCTAAAAGAAAGAATGAATTACCTGCTACTCTTGTCTTTACCCCACTTGTTAAATTGGGGTTGGAGAAATTTCTGATTCGTATCATCAAGAGTATTCAAGACTCAAGAGTCTGCATTAGTTAGGAAAGGAAACAAGACTAAAAACCACCCAATAAAAATGTACCATTGATGCAATGATGCAACAAAAAAAACCAATCTAATCGCCATATAATGTACTGTCCACTCACATACTGAACAGGAAGAGCTCAGAGATGACCATATTCCAAGGTTTTGACTGACGTGTTATGTTGTCCTGCTGATCATCGAATGGGTGCTTTTAAGTAATAATTTTGGGTAGTCTGTCAAGTAGGCTGATAATGTAAATGCAGATCAAGAGATTTGATTCTTCTACATGGGGAACATAATGGTAATCATATTTTGGTCTCCGACAACACAACAGCATCAATGTACCTTTTCACAGGATCGACCTGATTCAGGGATATTCCATTTTAAGCAGATAAATAGAAAAGACCAAGTTGATTCTGAGTTATCAAACACATAATTCTACATATCAAATGGTTCATACCGGAGCCAGGGAAATTTTAGACTTTAAAGAAGCTAAACTAGTATGCTTTCACAATGTGTTTTTTTTACCCCAAAATCAGTTCTGAAAGCATCTACATAGAAGATTTAAGTTTACACATGCAACAGAGCTCTAGAAAAGATCCAGCAAAGTTTCATTCCACACGCCTGCGCTTCTTTGCAAGATTCTCGAAAATCTGATGCACATCAGCAGATGTGACTGCATTTGATGGGTCAAAAGATTCCTGCCAAAATAAAATATTTAAAGATATATTTCAGTGAAGTATGCAGCAATTGAAAACAAACAACTAATAGTTCAAAGAAAAGTGTAGCTTCAGTAATGCTTTGCAACATTCTACGTGATTAAGTTTGCATAAAGTAGTCTATGAAGTAAGCCACTCAGGACACACCAAGAAAGTCCGAAACTCGTCTTTCATGTCCGCAATGCCATTGAGAATCTCCATTTTCTCTACATGGCCAAGTTTATCGAGAAAACTTAACTCAGAACCCTCTTGTTGTTGCAACTTTTCTTCCCTCTTCTGCTTTGCTGTTTTTTCATACTCCGCTATTGAATCCTCCTTGTCAACAAGATAACCAATATGTTTCTGGTTGTACATATCTAAGCATTTTTCACATCTGCAGAGAATATCCCTCCAATTTTTGGATAGAAATAGTGGTTTACTTGGTAAAATAGGGATATCTGACACCAGTTTTTCTCCAAGAAGACATTTAGTATGTGAAATATCATCCTTATTTGAACCAACTTTCTTCTCAGAACTTTCTCCAGTATCAAATCCCTTCCCACCAGACAAAGATTCAGATTTAGTATCAGCCATTAGATCATCTTTTTTAGGAGAACTACCAGAACAAATACCATTCTCAGTTTTTTCAGAACCACAAGCTGAAGGGATATCTTGCATTACATCTTTATCCTTTTTGGTATTAGTACTACCACTATGCTGCACTACAGCCGCCCACATGGTTGGAGGATATAGGGACAGAAAGGAACAAACTGCCGAGCATGCATTGCATATGAAATCCTCATACAGAGGCTCTCCTTCCTCTTCTCTAGGAATCTGTGGAACAATTAAAAGAATGGGTAAGGTTGCAAGAATAGTACAACCAGAATACAAATATTGCTACGATGAAATTCAGACTTCACTCTCTTTTCTTTTGTGTTTCCTTTTTTCTTAGAGGTGATGAAGGGTAAATTAGCTAGATGTAACTTATGTTCTAAATTGTCAAAAATAAAATTTAAGTTTTGAGTATCAAAATTATAACAATGAATGAAATCCTCCAAGACACTTTATTGTCATCATGAATCAAACAGAAGCACAGTTCTCATGTGGTAAGTAGTTGATAATGAACTACGGTTATATATTGGTGTAGCCACAACAGTCACGCAAGCAGATATGTGATTAATCATAACCATGAAAATTTGAAAAGGCTCATCAGAGTTTTCAACCATAATCAATATAGTTGGCCTCAGACATTGATATTGAATACCAGAAGGCCCTATGCAATTTTACAAATATTGCAACTTAAAGATGCATTTAGAAATTCATTGTTGGTAAACATGATATGAACAAATAGTTAGTAGTAAATAGCATAGCAAAAACAATGTAGTCCATGTGCAACAGCCATGCTACCAACCTCATTGGATGACTCAAGACCAATATGCTCCTCATGAAACCAGTCCTCGCACATACAGCATTGTATCATCTCGACTTGTTCTTCAACATCTGGATCAGGATACGGGCGATTGCATGTGCAGTATAAACCTTTGAAGTTATGATTATATAAATTGTCAACATTTTCTACATCTTTACTGGGAAAAAGTTTGCAGAAGAACTCCCCAAATTTTGAATTCCCACAATCACACTTGAAATTTCTCTTGGTCCAGAGCTCCACAATCTAGTTTATGCAGCGATAATGAAAGAACCATTAGATGGAAGATAATAGAAACCTTAAGATAATAAAAGATTGTTCAGTAAGCCATATTGGTTGAAATCATTGTGCATAACAGAAAACATAAATCTTTCATCTTGATAATCAACCAGCAAACTAGGTTTCAAACAAGTCCAAAGCAATTACTCCTAGAGAAATTACTGAACTCCATGTATTTTATTTTAATTAATTCATGAATTAAAAAGTAAGTATATATACCCAATATATCTCAGACTGGTTTGTTACAAAGTAGCAGGTAATTTTAAGCAAGAAAAGAGAGATGGTTATGCAATAAAGGTTCTTAATGAGGCTCCAATTCAATAAAACTCCCAGGTTTACAGGTGGACAGAATCAGGCAAGCGGAAACGAAAATCAAATAGCAAACTACCGATAAATTACTAATATTTATCTTAGCCACTGAAGTGTATTTCCAATCAAGCATTCAGAATAATGTAGTCATCCAACCTAAAGAGCAACTCAAAACAGGACAACCAGACCACAAACTGTGAAACAACTTGTTGAAACCACAAGTGGCAGACAGCATGTAAAGCATCAGCAAGAGTCACAGCTAGAACTCTAAGTCAATATATAAAAGTAACAACTAGAATACTATGCCAATATTCAAAAGAATTCCTAAATTAAATGAACCGTTCCCTATTAAATCTAACAAGCTCTAAAGGATAATAAAATAGTTGAAACATAAAAGAATACCTCATGACTATCGTGGCAAGATAAGGAGCATGCAGTGCAAACTCCAGCATTTCCTTCTGGGGTGCAAGTGAGGCATGAGAAAATAGCCTGTCTCTTCATATACCCCTTAGTATAGGTGCACTCCTTGCCTTCATCTCCACCCAAAACCAAATCCGCCTCCTTCAAAGTTCGATAATTGTCAAATATTAGATTCTTATTGTATATTATCTAAATTACACATTACTCATCACTCCACACCCAAAATCTGGCTTATAGCAATGGAAAACATACACAAGAATCAATAGCCAGCACATATTCTATTGTATTCGGCAGTGAACTAAAGCAACAACAGATGCTTATATTTATAAGAAACGAACCAACTAAAGATTGAAATGACCAGATAAATTGCTTGATAAAAAGCTATTAACTAATAAAACAACCAGAAAATCGTCTCTCAATACAAAAATTTCCCATCTTTCTGGATAATTAACCATAACACCAAACAGCAACACTTATTTATCGAATCTGACCTAAAATTTTAAATTAACAAACCCTGAATCGGAATACACAAGAAATTTTTTTTACCAATTCCTCTTCTTCGACCTCGTTAAGATACTCTTTGATTGTAATGGTCTGCTCCCCGTCATCAACAGTCTCACTAGCCATTTCTCACAACCCCGTGAATAATAGATAAATAACTTCGACCAAGCTCCAACCTTCCTGCCTCAAATTCAACCAAAAACATTAATAAACGGCAAGTTTAAAAAAAAAAATAATAATAATAAAGGGAAACAGATGAGAAAGCCCTAAAATTATGAAAGAAGTTACCTAAAACTGTGATCTGGACAGTTTAGGTATCAAAAGAATGATTTGATGGTGAGATATGAATAGTATCACTGTATCAGAATACTGGATAACCGGAAGGAGAGTGTGTCGATGTCATGTGGGGATAGCTGATGAGATAAATGGGCATTAGGGTTTTATATGGGAATTAAGGACTGTACGGACATTTTCCCGCCACAACGAGCCCCAAAGTACATGATCTGTTCGGGTTCCCTCCAAATCCCTCGGCTGGGTCCCTTCCGTTTGGATTGGATTTGGATTTATGTTGTTATGTTTTGAAACAAAACATGTTACTATGATTATATAAATTTTAATTATTTTCCAAATATTGAATATTTAAGTGTCACAAACCAGTATGAGTGCGTTTGTTTTAATATTTTAGATGATATTTTTGAAAAAGTAAAAGTTTAGTGATAATAACGGAGAAGGATTTAAAAATTGATAAAAACATCTCTCTAGGTTTGTTAATTTACTAAACACCTATTTAATAAAAATATTAAAAAATTATAAAAACACCCTCACCTGTCCATTAAATACCGGTAGCCAGCTATCATCGCTAGAGGGTGGACGAAGTCACCGTATTGGTATATGATCAGCTGGATCTGGCTGGTCATGTGCCAAGATGGCATTTTCTAACCAAATCTACTATGGATCTGGCCGAAAAAAAGTCATATCTAGGCGTAGATCTGGTCATTGACAACCATATCTAACTGCGTTTGATCGTCAACGATGGCCAAAGATATGGCCGTCGTTGATAGTCAACGACGGCCATATCTTGGCCGTCATTGGTGACTAGCTAAGGCCAAAGATTTAGTTGTCAATGGTCAAATTTTTTGTTATAGATCTGACATTTTTTTGTCATATCCACAGTGGATCTGGCCGGAAAAAATTAGATCAGTGCACTATTGGCTAGATCTAGTTGGTAGTGTGCCATTATATTAAATTCTAACCACCTTCTGGTGGTGGTGGTCGGAATCTGACAAATGTGGGTCGGTGAGGGTGTTTTTGTCAATTTCTAAACTTTTTTTTTGGATGTTTAGTTAAAAATAACTGAATAAAATAAAATAGTATTTTCATAATAAGGAAACAAATGATAGGAATAAGATAGAGGAAAAATAGGGAAACAAACGCACCTATAATAGGGATTTTAAATATCATTTCAATCGTATTTCCATGTAGAAATTATGATCACTCGAGTGATTATATAATGAAATTTAAATATCTTATGTATACTTCGACTAATTATCTGATGAGATTATGACAATAATCTATCGCTTTCCACTTAAATAGGATATGTTTAGATGGGAAATGAACCTAAGATTTTGTATTTATTCATACTATCTCTAATTCACTTTAATTATCTAAGTTATTCATAGATGGGTAATTTAATTATTTCTTATAAGTTTCACGATCGTTAAAAATATCGAACTTAAATCTAAACAACTATTGTATTTTTACAACATTTTTAAAAGATTACAAACTGTCTACGTACATCCCTTTTCTAAGTCTTCTTATAGTTTTAGGTGAATTAATTAAAGGATCTATCAAAATGGTTTAGGTTAAACAGACCCAATAATGGGCTACATCCAATTTGAATGCGGGCTTTGTGTGGAGCTTATATCGGCCCGAGCAAACATTAGGCCCAGCACAGAAACTTTAGAACCGTTGAAAGTTTTGCGGTGTCCAAGAGTAATGATGACTTAAACGGGCCCTTGCAATTACATGNAGGACGCACACGTCAGACCTGCCAAGTGATATGGAGCCCACACGCGTCCTTTCTCCTGCAGCAAGTCGTGCGATGTCAGCTTGGAAAAAGGGAAATGGGACGTAAAGCCGGATTAGGTACTGACAATCACACCCAACCACGGATTGAGTGATGATTATACGCTTCAGTCCAGTATAAAATAAGGAAGACCCCTTCATTAAGGGGATTCGACCATTTTTCATACAGAAAAAGAAATCTCTCTCTCTTGTAAACTTTTCTTTGACTTTTTCGTCTGATGTAAGTCAGCTCGCGACCGCGATCTGACATCCACTAATATCAATACAAATCAGTGGACGTAGGACTTGCTACCTTAGCATCCGAACCACTTAAAAAACTCCTTCTACAGTTCACTTTTCATATATTTCATTTTCGCGTGTATCGAACAACCAATCAACATTATACACGTAAATATTCGTTGGTGTAAAAATTGAGCATCAACACATGTGTTTCATTTTTTTTTTTTTTAAGACATATATATGATTTCTGCTTTTTAGTTTTAATGACTTTTGAAAAAACTACTGAGTACATTGTGGAGAAGCAGTTGTTTCGTGTCTACACTTAATTGTTATTGATTTTACTTTTAATTTTCTCAGCTTAACGTTAATGTTATTTGATTCATATGTTTAATTTGTTTATTTTGCACTTCTGGTAGCAATGTCTTACGAGCCTCTCCACCAGAGCAACGCTTATTGCTTGAGTTAATAGTCCCTCAATTAGCTACATTCTCCATTATCACGAACGCAAACAGAACTCTCCTGACAAAACTTGGTCTCAGCAAAAAATTTATAACTTTATTCAGCCAAGGTTCTTTGGAAACAGCTTCAATGATTCGTATGGATTGGGTGGTTTGTTCCCCGATAAAAGAATTTCGCAATTTGTTCTTGCGCCAAGTGCGGGTTCTGCTTATTGTCGGTATATGTCAACTACTATCGGTGAAGGGTCGGGGAACATTGAATCGATGAGTGATGTGGCGGAGGTTTTGAAGGATACAACTATACAAGCGGTTGCTAACCAGGCCTCGGTGGTGAATGAAGTTGTTGTTGCTGCTGTTGATTCTACCTTGCCTGTCGTAGCGTTGCAGCATTTTATTGATATAGAGCTAACAGGGCTCTAAACGAGTTGAGCCTAGTATCATCCTAAACGAGCCTGACCCGGTTAAGCATTAAATGAGTTTGAGCCGAGTCACAAGTCAGTTCGGTCATGAAAATTCGACTCGTTTACAATCGAGCCAGCTCGTGACTCGACTCGAACTCGTTTGACTTGACTTGAAAAACTTGATTATGACTCGATTAACTTGAGTTTGAATTGGCTCAATTATGGCTCGATTACGACTCGTTTGACCCATTTTTTATATAACCTGCATATCTTATTTTATACAAATTAGATCCAATTTTTGGTACATTTGCATCCAAATCAACATAAATCACATCTAAATCAACACAAATCACATCCAAATCAACACATCAACAATGTATTACACAACAAATTATAAAATCCTAAAACTTGAATTGGGGATTGGGTTAATTTGTAATATTTTAAAACTTTTACATGTCAAACTACAAATCATACCTAAAACATTTATTTTTTATAGAAAAACCCTAAACAAGCCACTATTGACTTGTGAGCCGAATCGAGCCGAGCCGGAGTAGATTCGAGCTCGGCTCGCTATCTAATTTGAGCCGGCTCGACTCGATTATAATCGAGCTGAGTTCAAGTATTTAACAAGCCGACTCGCGAACGGCTCATCTAGGTTGACACCCCTAAGTCATAAGTTCACCGGCTTTACCTGGAACTATTTGCATTTGTTTAGTTTATACTCGAATGGATGCACATAAGAATGTTAATATTTTTTAATTAATTTCTTAACGTATGACTTATGTTCTCATGACCAATGACAATATGAGCTAGTGTAGTGTTAATGTGGAATATGTTGGATTTCGCTCCTTTAATAAAATAAATTTATAACTAAAGAATATACTCTTTGAAAATAGAATATGTCATATTTTGTTATTTTGTTTATAGTACTAGCAAGGTTTTTATGAGATGCCATGGATTTTTTTTATTTTGTATGTGTGTATTGATTGTTAAGTTTATCAGTGGGCTTCCATAGTTGTGACTACTCTTTTGATTCGGAGTGCAACACTTCCACTTTCGATTAATCAACTTAAAAGTAACTCCGAATGCAACAGTATGTACTCAATACTGCAAGGGTTTTGTCTCTTATTCATGTGATATACATTTTGAAAACTATGGAACTGAAATTCCATTTTTATACCAATCAGTTCTAACAAGAGGGTGTTCATCCTTCTTGCTATGTCTGAAAGGGAAGGACTAGTATTGTCGGTTAATATATGGTAGGGCTACAAATATATCGAACACGAACGAACACTCCTGTTTGAAAATCATTCGATAAGCACAAAGGGGTGTTCGAAATCAGTTCGAACTCGAACGAATATAAAATGACCGTTCGAGTAACAAAACGAACTGTTCGTGATCGTTCGATAAATTGTTCACATAACTCGTTTGAGAACTTGTAAATACCTCTCTCTCTTTTAGCATGGATGTCAGCAGTTACACCCATGACCTCTCACTCCCCGTCATCGATTCGTTTATGCAAAAATTGATTTCACTTCCATTGTAAGCTGATGATAATTCAAGAATTGGAAAATGATTTTGAAATAAAATTTAATACCTTCCAAAATTGCAAAACGGCAAAAGGGGGGTTGAGGCATTGATCTCTTTTGGCCTTTGGAGTCTGGAGCAAAACGGCAAAAGGGAAAATAGGGGCTAAGGCTAATTGCTGAGGCGCTGTTGCATTGCGCAAAACTGCAGAAAAAAATTAGGGTTGTGAGTGAGGCTGTCGCAATTTGCAAAAGGGAAAATATAGAATTGGGTTTGGATTTTTATTTTAAAATTGGGGTTGGATCAGATTAATTTGTTGGTTATTGCGCTTTTATACTCTCGGTAAAAAAAAAAAAAAAAAAAAAATTACCCACCATAACAGTCATGACCATTAAGAATGAATAAATTGATGTTTCTTTTGTGTTTTTATTTCAACGAATGGATGAATAAAAAAGGAAAACAACTTTTTTTTTTTTTTTGGTTAATTGAGGTATTCAAATCCGTTACCCAAGTCCACTTTCAAGCCTGCCTAATGTCACAGACGGGGAGTTTCACACCTAAAAGGCCAACCTATTAGGTGGAGGGACTTTCTCTATTTATAAGCCCAAGACCTCCCCAATACGCTTCCAATGTGGGATTTGTTACATTCTCTCCCACCCAATCTTGTGACGCCTTCGTCACAGGTGAGGCCTCCTACCTACCCATCCACCTCACTCTCGTGTGGACCCACAATCACACGTGGACGTCCCTGTGTGGGCGCTTGGCGGGACATCGAAAGACGGATTGGGTCTGCTCTGATACCACTTGTCACGAGCTGGGAGTTTCACACCCAAAAGACTAATCTATTAGGTGGAGA